TGGATATGGGTGTGGATGTGGGTGTGGATGTGGGTGTGGATATGGGTATGGATATGGGTATGGATATGGGTGTGGATAGGATGTGATGGTGTGGATGCTGACGCAGACATGGGCCTGGACTGAGGTGGAGAGAGCAGGTGATGAGTCAGCGCAAAGGGGAGAGGGCGGTGGAGGTCTCTGAGGCCGAGTCGTGGGCAGGGCCTCTTTGGGAGCCACGGGAAACAGCCACCCGGACGAAGGAAGCCCTAGGAGGCCGAGTGTGAGGAGCAGGTGACCTGTGGGGACCGCGCTGGGTGCTGCCCACGCCTGGCCTGCAGGGGGCAGCAGAGGCTGCAGGAATGAGGCGGCCAGGCCAGTATATGCGGTGGCTCCTTGGAAGGAAAAGCGAGGTGGGTGGGAGGGCTGAGACGCGGTCACCCAGCCGGCAGCCGGCTTCCCGTTTCCCGGGGGAATTTAAGGCGATTTTTGTTTATAAAACACTCATGTGTGGTCGCCAGAGGGAGGGCGTGGAGGGGGAAGGGGTCCTCGTACAGGTGACGGGGATGTGACTCTGGGTGGGGGGCACCCCGTGCCGTATACTGACCTTGTGACATAGAAGCCACACCTGAAGCCCGGTGTCCGTGCTGACCGACGTCACCCCGATGAACTGTATGAAAAAGACCGACCGACCGAAGGGTGGAGGGAACTGGTGGTGGTGCTGGCACCGGGCTCCCCGATGACTGAACCGTAACAACACGGGATAAAAACAACGTGCCCTGAGCCCCGATCCCGTTAAAACCATCGGGGACTCGGGACGACAAGTGAATTCGACTCGCTGTGCAACGGTGGAGTCCTGGCCCTCAGGAGTGGGGGGGAGGGGTGGTCTCTGGGGCCCAGGGCTCTGCAAACACCGCCTCTCACGCAGCTCGCAGCCCCGTCCGTCCGCGGGGAGCGGGGCACCTGCTCGCACCCGGAGCTCGCTGGCTCGCGGCGTGTTGTGCACATAGAAGAGGGAAATGTGATCGTTTTTGTTGAAAGAGCCACCACAGTCCTGCCCACAGTCCTCTGTGGAGGTCTCCCCACGCTCCCCACCCTGACCCTGTTCTCCCCTCGGCTAACTGCCTGCAGGTGGACAGACCGGCGCTCCCGCGGGAACGGCCGCCCTCGAGGAAGGCGCCTGAGGGAGGTGCCGACTGCGGCGAAGGCTGAAGGAGACCCTCGGACCGCTTCCCCCAGCGTGTGCCCGCTGCCGGCTGTCGGACCGCTTCCCCCAGCGTGTGCCCGCTGCCGGCTGTCGGACCGCTTCCCCCAGCGTGTGCCCGCTGCCGGCTGTCGGACCGCTTCCCCCAGCGTGTGCCCGCTGCCGGCTGTCGGACCGCTTCCCCCAGCGTGTGCCCGCTGCCGGCTGTCGGACCGCTTCCCCCAGCGTGTGCCCGCTGCCGGCTGTCGGACCGCTTCCCCCAGCGTGTGCCCGCTGCCGGCTGTCGGACCGCTTCCCCCAGCGTGTGCCCGCTGCCGGCTGTCGGACCGCTTCCCCCAGCGTGTGCCCGCTGCCGGCTGTCGGACCGCTTCCCCCAGCGTGTGCCCGCTGCCGGCTGTCGGACCGCTTCCCCCAGCGTGTGCCCGCTGCCGGCTGTCGGACCGCTTCCCCCAGCGTGTGCCCGCTGCCGGCTGTCGGACCGCTTCCCCCAGCGTGTGCCCGCTGCCGGCTGTCGGACCGCTTCCCCCAGCGTGTGCCCGCTGCCGGCTGTCGGACCGCTTCCCCCAGCGTGTGCCCGCTGCCGGCTGTCGGACCGCTTCCCCCAGCGTGTGCCCGCTGCCGGCTGTCGGACCGCTTCCCCCAGCGTGTGCCCGCTGCCGGCTGTCGGACCGCTTCCCCCAGCGTGTGCCCGCTGCCGGCTGTCGGACCGCTTCCCCCAGCGTGTGCCCGCTGCCGGCTGTCGGACCGCTTCCCCCAGCGTGTGCCCGCTGCCGGCTGTCGGACCGCTTCCCCCAGCGTGTGCCCGCTGCCGGCTGTCGGACCGCTTCCCCCAGCGTGTGCCCGCTGCCGGCTGTCGGACCGCTTCCCCCAGCGTGTGCCCGCTGCCGGCTGTCGGACCGCTTCCCCCAGCGTGTGCCCGCTGCCGGCTGTCGGACCGCTTCCCCCAGCGTGTGCCCGCTGCCGGCTGTCGGACCGCTTCCCCCAGCGTGTGCCCGCTGCCGGCTGTCGGACCGCTTCCCCCAGCGTGTGCCCGCTGCCGGCTGTCGGACCGCTTCCCCCAGCGTGTGCCCGCTGCCGGCTGTCGGACCGCTTCCCCCAGCGTGTGCCCGCTGCCGGCTGTCGGACCGCTTCCCCCAGCGTGTGCCCGCTGCCGGCTGTCGGACCGCTTCCCCCAGCGTGTGCCCGCTGCCGGCTGTCGGACCGCTTCCCCCAGCGTGTGCCCGCTGCCGGCTGTCGGACCGCTTCCCCCAGCGTGTGCCCGCTGCCGGCTGTCGGACCGCTTCCCCCAGCGTGTGCCCGCTGCCGGCTGTCGGACCGCTTCCCCCAGCGTGTGCCCGCTGCCGGCTGTCGGACCGCTTCCCCCAGCGTGTGCCCGCTGCCGGCTGTCGGACCGCTTCCCCCAGCGTGTGCCCGCTGCCGGCTGTCGGACCGCTTCCCCCAGCGTGTGCCCGCTGCCGGCTGTCGGACCGCTTCCCCCAGCGTGTGCCCGCTGCCGGCTGTCGGACCGCTTCCCCCAGCGTGTGCCCGCTGCCGGCTGTCGGACCGCTTCCCCCAGCGTGTGCCCGCTGCCGGCTGTCGGACCGCTTCCCCCAGCGTGTGCCCGCTGCCGGCTGTCGGACCGCTTCCCCCAGCGTGTGCCCGCTGCCGGCTGTCGGACCGCTTCCCCCAGCGTGTGCCCGCTGCCGGCTGTCGGACCGCTTCCCCCAGCGTGTGCCCGCTGCCGGCTGTCGGACCGCTTCCCCCAGCGTGTGCCCGCTGCCGGCTGTCGGACCGCTTCCCCCAGCGTGTGCCCGCTGCCGGCTGTCGGACCGCTTCCCCCAGCGTGTGCCCGCTGCCGGCTGTCGGACCGCTTCCCCCAGCGTGTGCCCGCTGCCGGCTGTCGGACCGCTTCCCCCAGCGTGTGCCCGCTGCCGGCTGTCGGACCGCTTCCCCCAGCGTGTGCCCGCTGCCGGCTGTCGGACCGCTTCCCCCAGCGGGTGCCCGCTGACGGCTGGCGGACCGCTTCACCCAGCGTGTGCCCGCTGACGGCTGTTTCAACATCAACACGGAAGACTTGGGTTTCTCTTCCCAATCAAAACTCAAAAAAGAATCTTTCCTTCCGGCTAGTGTGGCCCAGTGGTTGAGCATCAACCCTTGGACCAGGAGGTCACCGTTCAATCCCCGGTCAGGGCACAGGCCCGGGTTGGGGGCTCGATCCCCAGCGCGGGGCGTGCAGGAGGCGGCCGGTCCGTGATTCTCTCTCGTCACTGATGTTTCTCTCTCTCCCTTCCTCTCTGAGATCAATAAAAATATATTTAAAAAATGAAAGCCATCTCTCCTCCCTGAAGGTGAGCACGCCTGCCGGACCCGGGGGAGCTCACCGTCCAGGCCTTGCCCAGAGGGCAGTCTGCTCGCTACTCAAGGGCCTGACTGCTCCGGAGGCTGGCGTGCACCTCGTCACGGCAACACAAGCACAGCCACGAACGCCACGCGTGTTCGTGAAAATCCCGGAGACTCACAGGCAGTTCACGGCGTGGTATCCAACCACGGTGTGTGGTGATCGGCGACTGCCGCCGGGGCTGGGGCCTGGCGGGGCGTTAGCCAATCTCAGAAGCAGCCCCGTGGCGCCCGGAGCTTCTGGGAGGGGAGCTGGGTGCGGAGGGTTTAGGGGCAAGTGAACAAGAACACACGGAGCCCGGACGCCTCTGAAGGCCGGGCTGAGACCGCCACCCTCTGGGACGTCAGCCCGGCGCCGCAGGTGAGCTCCGGCAGCGGCGGCATCGGTGTGGACAAGGCGGGAGCTTTGTCTCCAGCCTGGGAGACCAGAAACCACGCCATCGGCACACGACCGGGCCCAGGGCAAGCCGCTCGGCCCAGCCCCACGTTCTCAGCCGGAGGCCTTTCCTGGGATACTGTTCTGACCCCAGGGCTGTGCTTGGAATTCTTGAAGCAAGAAGTCAGCCCCTTTTAGGGATGTGCTGCTTCAACCTAGACATGCCCTGTGCTTCGTCCCTTGTCCTCCCCCTAGAGCAGGCGTTTCCGTAAAAGGAACCTCTGTTTCTCGGGGTGCAGCCTGGGCGTAGAGGGAAGTGCTCTCTCAGCCACACAGCCCAGCTCCGGACGGGTTACAGCGAGCTCTCTCCGCCCCCTGGTGGGCACAGGATGGACTTGCTGGGAGGCCACTGGGTTCCATTTTCATGAAACAAAATAGAGAAAAAGAGCCCAGTCCTGCGTGGGGGATGGAACCAAATGCCATTCGTTACAGGTTCCCACGTGATCTTTTCAAAGTTCAGGATCAGCCACGAGGTGCTGCCAAGCAGACGGCGGCCAGGGCCGTCCCCGGGGGAACCCACAGGCCCACGCGGGATGCTGTGCGTTTGATCTTTGCCACGGGAACCTTACAATCGGGTCGCTGGTGAAGATCCCCCGTCAGAGCACGGAGCCGCTCGGCCCCGGAGCCCAGGCCTGACCTCCTTACGGCCCCAAATGCCCCTCCTACCCCAGAGCCACCGGGAGGGCACCTTCGGACATCAACACGCACGCGACCACAGCGCAGGCTGGACACCACAGCGAGTTTATTCGCTGCGAGGGGCGGAAGGGAGGCACGGAAGATGGAAGGCTTGTTTTCCGGGGCAGCACGCAAGCTGTTCAGACCAAGTCATGAACCCCAAGAACATAATTCAAAGTCACATCTTAACGGATCCCGACACTATGTATCAGCTTTAAAAATATGTTCATCTGAAATCGTATTTCCATTTATATGCATCGAAATAGCGTGTATAAATTACCTAGGGTTCTTTTGAAAAACAGAATATCATTAATACTAAACGTTACTATAATTTAAGATTCCATAGCATGATCCTGATAAGGCCTCAAATGTAATTATCTGGGGGCGGGGGTGTCTCAAGAAGACAATCACCTCTCCATCTGAGAACTGGAAGAGATTTAGGTGACCGCCGGGCTCCGCCCACTCCGTAAGACACAGAAAGCATTACTCTCACATTTTCGATCAAGTTACCACTAATATTACATGACTCACCCAAAGCCACCAAGCAGCTAAATGTCCTCTTTTCTCAGCCACCGTTTTCTAGCAAACAGACCGCCAAGCGGATTTCATGGGCCATCACAGACATTCAAGTGCAAGACCACTCACCAGGAGACCCCCTCCAGGGCCCGCTGTGCTCACGACGTGAGACAAACCACACCCGGGGAATGAAAGACACAACCCGCGTGGCCGTGGCTTCCCGGCCCCGTTGTTGGTAGTGAAGCCCGGCCCTAGGCCGCGGGAACCCTGCGGGACTCGGCGCTACGACCACATGGCTGCCTGGCCACGTGCGGGCATCCAGCTCAGGGCAAGACGCTCCCACACCCACGGCCAGTCCCCAGTGGAAAGGGTGGAATCGGAACAAGCAGGAATAATTCCAGAAAGGCCGGCGTGCCTGCGCTTCGGGTCTCGGGGTTGTGAGCTGCCGACACAGGTGGACACGGCTGTACACGTGCCCCCCCGCCCACCAGACACTCCTGGGGGCCAGGACACGCAGGCACGTCCCGCGGGAGGGCTTGGCTCTGGGATCTGGGGCTCAGTCAAGACCATGGGGTGAGGCCGGGCTGGGAAGACGTCCACGCCCACCGTGTCAAGGTCTTGCCAGGGAGCAGGTGTGGGCGTGGCGGAGGCTGGGGCGGGAATGCCGCTGAGCGGGGAGGACTTCCCCGTGGCTCTGTAGACCTCGTGCCTCGGGACAAGACAACCATGGAGGCCTTTGCTGGGACGGCGTGAAGCCCATTCGCAGAACAAGCGCCTGGTGCCGGGCGGAAATCTCTCTTGGCGCCCACGGGAGCGTGGCCCGTCTCAACCCCGACGGGCCCATCGGTCAGAAGCACAAACAATAATTAGGGGGACACGGAGAGGTCTGGTCCCCGATTCTCCGCGGCACACCGAGCGGGAAAGCATGTACCCAGCCCGGGCGGAGAGGCTTGAACATGTGACGAGGCGCCGAGTCACGGCCGCTGAGGACAATGATCGCGGATGAGGCTGAGCACCGCCTGGAGGACCCTCTCCCTCGAGGGGCTGGCGTCCACGGCGTGGCAGCCCGGACTCTCCATACGCTCGTAGGAGACCTCCACCCTGGGGACGGGAGAAGGAACAGGGTTGGCACACGTCTCCGCTCGGCTCTCCGGGCACCCAGCGCTGCCCCACCCGCTGCCCCACCCGCTGTCCCACCCGCAGCGTGAAGCAAGGTCCCCGCTGGGTCTCCCACAGCCTCCCCTGGCGCCAGCTCTGCCACAGGCCATGGTTCAGACACTCTGTCTAATCCCTGACACGGCCCGGCCGGCCTGGCTCAGTGGTTGAGCATCGACCTAGGAACCAGGCGGTCACAGTTCAATTCCTGGTCAGGGCACAGGTCCGGGTTGTGGGCTCGATGCCCAGTGTGGGGCGTGAGGAGGCAGCCAATCAATGATTCTTTATCATCATCATCATCATCATTATCTATCTCTCTCTCTCTCTCTCTCTCTCTCCCTTCCTCTCTGAAATAAGAATCTGTATTTTTAAAAATACCTGGTAGGTTAGGAGTGATGTTTAGCAGCCAGCGTTTGAGTCCCTATTGTCTGCCACGCAGTAGGGCTCTGCGTGAGCCTTCCCCCTTCAGACCCAGTGACTTAGGGAGGACCCACTGGCACCCATTTTGCAGACCAAGTAGCAGAGACTCAGAGAGATGAGGTCATGCGCCCAATGACAACCGTCTCCGCAGTCTGCGCCCCGGAGGGTTTCAGACGAGCCAGAGGTCACACAAGCCAGAGGCCCTCGGCATGCACACTGCTTCCTCCCCTGAGCGTCTGAGCACCCCGCCCGGCGAGGGCAGCACCTACTTCTGACGGAACACGCTGTTGGCCTCCAGCTCCTCCTCCTCGCTGGTCCTCTCCGGGCCCCGGCCTCGGATCCTCCTCAATCTCTCCTCAGGGCTCACCGTGAGCAGCACCACCAGGTTGGGCCTGAGCAGGTCCTTCGGCCACTGGTAAATGGGGTGGTGGGCCGGGGGCAGGTGCTGGACTGCCCCGCTCACCTCGGTGGCGATGGCGTAGGCGGCCGTGCTGTGCCAGTACCTGGGGGGCCAAGGGGTGGTGAGTTCCCCGTCTGCAGAAGGAACCGAGGTGGCTCTGAGCACCAGCCACGGGGGTGCCTCTGCTCGAGCCTCCCTCGCATTGCACCAACTAAATAAATAAACCTGCATCTCCTGTTTAAAGTGTTTATAAAATATCAAGAGTAGCCCGGCCGGCATGGCTCAGGGGCTGAGCGTCAGCCTATGAACCAGGAGGTCACAGTTGGATTCCTGGTCAGGGCGCAGGCCCGGGTTGCAGGCTTGATCCCCAGTGGGGGGCGTGCAGGAGGCAGCCGATCCATGATTCTCTCTC